TTCTTTCTTAAATTTCTGTTGAATTGCAAATCGTTTGAACAGTTATAAACGTCTGAGACCTGCATCAATTCAGGGTTTCCTCCCACAATAAGCTGACACGCTGCGTTATAACTCGAATACTGCTAAAGTCGGCGTTGAACCTAACTCACTCACTCACTCACTCAATATTGCTTTTAAATAGACTGCAAATGTATTCTTTTTGATGAGTATGCTAAGCAAATATTTCAAAATGGATGGTCGCATGTCAAATTCTAAATGTCGGAAATTGTACAGTGGACGCACGACAGTAGGTGAGGTGAAATGGGGTTTAACGTCGCGTCCAAGATTATTGCACTTATATAGCGACGTGCATGCACGTGTGTGTGTGGCTGCTTGTACTAGTCCGGACTGATGCCGATTTATAGTGCTAGCTCACTGAGATACCAGTTTAACATGAATATCCCACTCAGACACAGTATACTGACCCCGAGCCGACCAGTCCTTGTTTTAGCCCCTTAATGCCGAGCGCCAGACAGGGTAAAAACAAGTACCATCTTTTGACGTCTTTTGGTATGACGCGGTCGGGGATCGAACCCCGGACCTTCCGCTCTCCGGGCGGACGCTCTACCACAAGACCACGGAGGCGGTCCGCACGACAGTAACATGATGTAACAGGCGATGTGCTGATACCATGCAAACAGAACCGCCTTCCTGTAGAATGTACGTACGTTGCCATATAAATATTGTCCACTGGGAAACTCAAAAGCTTCAACTTGCAATTAATGGGAAACAGACAAATTTGTAGTTTTCGATGTTATAGCATCGGCTCCCTGTTTGTAAGGCAAAAATGCAATGCAGTATAAGTTGGGTTGAAGCTGGGTCAAACCTGGACCAATAATGCGGGCGAATCTGTGATTGGAGCCAAAAGATCCCAGGTTCAGGATACGCTGAAGGGACGCAACTCTTAACAGCGCTTCAGATGACTGAGTCAGCCATTCCCCTTATCATCTGACCACAGTCATAGTTCAACACTTCAGACAGTTTCGTTGCTGTGATCAGAACCACAACAAGGATACCAAACTTGGAAAAGTATATTCTCGTCAGCCATAGCGTGACAAACTAATGTTATTTAACGCCACACTCCAATATTCAAGCTATATGACGGCGGTCTGTAAATCAGCCAGTCTGGACAAGACAATCCAGTGATTGATATCATGAGCATCAATCCACGCAATTCGATGACATGCATCAACCAAGTCAGCAAGCCTGACCACCCGATCCCGTTAGTCGCCTCTTACGACAAGCATAGTCACCTTTTACGGGTGATGTATTTTAGGGGTATCATAGTTGACGGTTGGATCTTAAGTTTGCAGTGTAGTAACGCAATGATAGCGGTTCTAGTTTTTTGGTTAATTCTAATTTTGAAGAGTATTCTTTCTTTTGCCTCACGTCTCATTCCAATATTCTTATTTTGCCAACATTTACCAAATATAGTGACGATTGTAAAAGTACTGGTTGGAAAAAAAGTTTAAAATTGCCAAACATAAATTATTTGTCGTTGTACTTTATCCATATGAATCACAGGAAGAGTAATACAGGTTATATAAATAGCAGTACATCATTATTAATATGACAGTTCCTCAGTCGCGTTGTCCTGATATGAACACTTGAAGTTTATAGTGATGCTGTTCCATCTCGCTTCGATCAACGCTTGTTACATTTGCATCAACTTTTTCAGATATAGTGTTAAATACAAAACATTTACATGTGGTGTACATAAAGTGTACATGCATGATGGTAGATATCACTGATGGACTTGATTTGTTCTTATATTATAATATTCGCACCCACGATCCTCGTCACGCTGGGGGCACGGGTGGCCCAGTCGTCTAAGGCGCCGCGATTCGCTGTGCAGAGTTACGTCCCTTGGAAACGCCGGAAACGCCGGAAACCTATGATTGTGGGTTCGAATCCCGGTTCGCCCCAATTATGTTTCTAGGTTTGTCAGCACAATACCCGTACTCGTGGGTTTCACCGAAGTGGTAAACGTCAGAGACCTGCATCAGTTCGGGCTTTCCTCCACATTAAGCTTACACGCCATTATAACTGTAATACTGTTAAAAGTGGCGTTAAACCCAACTCACTCACTCACTCGTCCGACAGGTGCTCAATGGGATTTAAATCGGGACTGAGGGCAGGCCACTGCATGGTTCTGATGCCATTCTGCTGGAGGAAGTCTCTTGTTGCTCTCGCAGTGTTGGCACGGGCGTTATCATGCTGAAACTCGTGGTTGCTGCGACGTGCCAAATGTGGTATGACGTGTGGTCTCAAGACTTGATCAATGTACCGAGCTGCTGTGACACCATTGCCTCTCCCTGGACCGATGTTCTGGAAGACCACAGGGCCGACCCTCTGTGCAAGACCAATTCTATCCCACACCTTGATGCTCAGACGACCCCACGAGTCTCAACAACACAAGCATCCGAATAACGTTCCCCACGGCGTCGCCTGACTCTCCCTCTGCCATCTGCTGTTGAGATACAGTAACGGCTCTCGTCTGAGAACAGGACTCTTCTCCACTGCTGGTGGCGCCAATGCTACTGCTGTGTTGCCAACTGAAGACAGTCCCGGCGATGACGTGGTGTCAGAATGAGTCATCGGTGAGGCCTATGACAGTGGAGGTGTCTGCAGTGACGGTGTCCGCACTAATGTGTCGCTGGTGTGTCCCCATGGTCTGTCGAGTAGTTTCTACAGCAGTAACAAAGCGATCTTGAAGATGCTGTCGCACAATCTGACGATCCTGACGTCGGGTGGTGACCCTTGGTTTTCCACTACGTGGTTGGTCATCTGTAGTGTTGGTGGTCTGGTACCGTTGTTGGAGCCTGTATATGGTCCTTACGTGGACTTGCGGTTTGTCAAACCTGCAATCGTTCAAGGGCTTGGTGTCGCTTATTCCTCGTCAATCTTGGCATGTGGTAGCAATTCAATAACGAATGAATGTTATCTGATCTGGTTTATAGGGCAAGAAATGGGGGAACGCATGTGCATTTCAATTTCAACGGAACTCACGTGTATCGGGTTACCATGGCCGTTTCCGTAATGCGTTTAAGCGATCGGTTTTATTGTCATCTGATTTGGTTTTTTATCATCTAATTTCATTTTTCCGGACAAGGTAATGTTAAATTTTAGAAACTTTGACAAATTACCCAGATATTTAAATGACAACTGTTCATGCAATGTTACTTGGTGTGACGTTTCTTTTGCGGTTTCGGTATATATTGCCCCATGCACGTCATATACTGCCTCATGAACGTTATATACTACCTCATAAACGTTATATCTTGCCTTACCACTGTTATATACTGCATCATGACCGTTATATACTGCCTCATGAAGGCATGCTTCGTGCCTAAGTTGTGCTCTACCAGATTTACGATACCCTGTGTTGGTGTGGTTGTGCGCGTGTGCGTGTGTGTGTGTAATTTAGTTAGTGTGAATGTGTGTGTGCTTGTGTGTGTTAAATACTGCCTCATGAACGTAATAAACCGCCTCACGACCGTTATAAACTGCCTCATGAACGTTATATACTACCTCACGGTCGTTATATACTACCCCATGTACGTTATATTATGCCTCATGCTTGTTATATACTGCCTCACGACTGTTATATACTTCCCCATGAACATGATATACTGCCTCATAAACGTTAAACGCGAGTGTGTGTGTATTTTAGTAAGTGTGAATGTGTGCGTGTGCGTGTGTGTGTGTGTTTTAGTTAGTGTGAAAGTGTGTGTGCGTGTGTGTGTATTTTAGTTAGTGTGAATGTGTGTGTGTGCATGTGTGTGTGTATTTTGGTTAGTGTGAATGTATGTGCGCGTGTGTGTGTGTATTGTGGTTAGTGTGAATGTGTGTGTGGCAGTGTGTGTGTATTTTAGTTAGTGTGAATGTGTGTGTGTATTTCAGTTAGTGTAAATGTGTGTGTGTGTGTGTGGGGGGGGGGGGGGGGGGGGGGCTGTGTGGCTGTGTGGCTGTGTGGCTGTGTGTGTGGCTGCTTGTACTAATCCGGACTAATGCCGGATGAACACCCAACTCAATTCAATTCAATTCAATTCATTTCTTTATTGTATGAAAGGCCATACCCATATACAACGGAGTTACATAACATATTTTATAAGATACAAAGTCAAGGTAACAATTCACTTCGTAACAAAAACGCATGATGTATGCACAAAGCCAGTTGATGTTGTGTTAGAAGATCCTTGCAGGACAGTAATGAAGACAATGTTATAGCGTTAACACGAGCTAAAGACCACTGCGGTAAGTACTTGTTTCTTAGATTTTCGTAAATAGGGCAAATAAACATAAAATGGTATTCATCTTCGACAACAATGTCACAGAATGGGCATAACCTTAGAGATTTCTCAATAGATGAAAATCTCCCTGTGTTTATTTATGGATCATTCAGGCCAATCTAAAACGAATAATGATGTTACGAAAATTTCTGTACCGTAAGTTTGTTAAATAAGATTCTGGTTCGAGCAATGGCTTGAAATGGCGATAAGTATCATATCTTGAAATTTCGTAAATATCTGAATGTCATTTCTGATGAAATCAATGGCACGCATGCGAATGTACACACTCAGACACAGTATACACACAGACACAGTACACACACAGACACAGTATACAGACTGCGAGCCGAGCGGCCCTTGCGCCTGGCAAACAAGGGGTACAAAAGGCCGAGGATCGTACGGCGGATACCACTCTATCCACTAGACTATATCTACCTTACCACAGAGATAATGTGAATGCACATAATGTCGGCAAAGAAAGCGTAACCTTTTCTCCACCACATCTATTTAAACACTATACAGCGACTCAGCCATAACGCTGTAAAAAATATTAAGGTAGTCAAAACCCCGGCAACACCCCGTGAGCTTCAATCCCTGTGTGACAGGTAGGACGGATATGCTCTGAAAAACAGCAGATCACAGTGTTATATTCAAAACGCTCCCTCTTTGTAAAGGCGAGTTTAGAAAAGTAGGCGTGGGTACGTTCTGTGTCTATCATAGTGACACGAGAACCCCAGAAAAGCTCTCACTGTCATCACAGTTCCCTGGGGACTGCAAAGGTTATGGTGTAGGTATTGATGTCTGTGGTTCCTGAGGGCGTTGTTGGGACAACAGCCAGGTGAAGTTTCATGTGAAGCAATCACGTGGAGTATCCTGACGTCGTAAAATGCAGGATTGATTATTGCGCTTGAAATCCTTCAATACTGTACTGGTAGGTACTGTTTGGCGGTGTCAATGTCTTTTTAACATCGGGTACTATCCATGTCAACGTATCTCTTGCATTGGATATAGTACATGTTCGTCAGCAAGGTGATCAATGCCTATGGCATGCGGATATATGAATACGATCTTGAATGACGTGCAGATCAGTGTAGTCAACACGGGGAACGTATGATTCAGTCTCACACAGCCATTATTCACTGACCAATACAAGGATTCCCCGTTTCAGTCACTTGATAGTGGATCTCCGAATACATACCCCATCTGGCGTTGGTGGTTGGAGTAAACGACACATTCGGGATGTTTCGCCAGCTTAAAGCGTCTCTCATGAGAAAGGTAAATATACTACATGTATGTAGTTAATATTTAGCATATTGTGGTACAGTATACTGCGGTTAAAACGAAGTCAAAAGGACCACTAATTTAAGGTCGTTATAACCGTAGTTCGTTATCAGCATACATACAAAATCTGAACAGCAAATTGAGGGGACCAAAATATTTAGTTCGTAATATCCGCCAGTTCGTTATAAGCGTGTTCGTTATAAACGTATTTAACGTAACCCTATGTGAACGATAACGTCGACTATTCGAGAAGCACATGGATGTCTCCTTGCATAGTCAGCTGATGCAGGTCTATAGTTAAAGACAAAGGTCCTCAAATGGACGTACAGTAAAAAACGTTTATAACGAACACGCTTATGACGAACTGACGGATATTACGAACTTAATGGTCCCCGCCATTTGCTGTATAGATGGTGTATGTATGCTTATAACGAACTACGTTTATAACGAACTTAAATTAGTGGTCCATTTGAGTTCGTTATAACCGTAGTTTACTGTACACAATGCATGCTGTCACACCTAATTAAGGGATGGATTAATCCATATTTGTTCTAATTATTTCCTTACGTCGATACCTCACGAAGGTTACGTGTTTTGTATTTAGGATACAGGACCTAATTTATTGTGATCATATATAATGCTGTACAGGGTTTGAATAGGGGTACGTCATTTAGAGGAGCAGATAACACGCAACATTAGGAAACTGATAACCTTACTGATAAATGTCCAATCAACATCATTTCGATATGCATAAATCCATTGATATTTCCCTTTAAACCTAAACCTACATTTTTTTTATATCTACGCTTGTTTATTCTCTGTTGTTGAATCAACACGAATGTTATGGTGTGAAAGTATGAATCTCCATGGATATCTGTACAAAACTAATTCAATGAGGACGAAGAAGCGATCCTCACCACCTGGTATATTGTCATGGTAATTCTGGGAGCCCAACAGCCGTCAAGACCGGGAAGTTAGGGTGAGCAGACACTAAGGCCAGGTTCACACAGTGCCGATTATGGCTCCCGTTTGAGATCAGACAGCGCTACGACACGAAAAGTGAAAAAGTCGTATTACTATCCTCAATGATCTGGAATGATCTAAATGCAGTCATATATACGTTCGTAACAGAGTCCTACGGATCGGGAAAGGTCCAGAGAAGTCGGCCAAGCACTCCCGACAGTATACTGCGTCCCGTAACATTTGGGAAACTCAGCCGATTTTGTCTCGTTGGATTACAAACGTGAATGTGTCGTGAGAGATTCTGCTTTATCGGTTCAAAATCGTAACGATGTCCTGTGACGTCTGGACGGTGTCCTGTAGATCGGTACGCTCACGTGATGAACGGGCATGAATCGAGTCCAGATTGCATCCAGATCTTGCCAAATGCAAACCGTCTTTGTCGGTTCACTGTCCGGTCACTGTCTGATCTCTGTCGGATGGCATTCGGGAGAATCGGGACGCTATAGGGACACGTTCGGTGGGTTTTTTTTACCATGCAGAAGATACAAATCGGATCAGATTCGGATTGAGAACGGGAAACGGCTGAATGGGGACGCTTCCTGAACAATATCTGATTGCTTGTGAATTTCCCGCCACGAATCACAGGATCTTGATCAGACTTTTGACAAATTGTAATCGGGAATGGTCCTATCAAGGACGGCAGTAAAAATCAGGAATGTGTGACTGAGCCCTAACCTACACCCGAAAGTCAGACTGACCCACATAGCACTACCTCGGCGTTACGAAATGTATATATGTACTATTTACTGTATTTGAAGCATGTGCATTCATTTGAAAAAATCTTTACCATATGAAGCCGACACTTAATATGAAGTAATCAATCATCTGCCTCCATATGCTTGTACAGATAAACAATCAATTTCTTTGCAACATTCAGTTCAATAATTTATTTCAGTATAAAGGCCATAGCCCCACGTACAAATACTCATTGAAAAATACAGTATGAGGCAGTTGACAGAGGGTATTAAGTGACAGTATTTCGGATTGCAAGTGCTTCCAGTATATATACTGAGTCAAATTAAAAACTTCACATTTTAAAAAGTAATCCCATATATGATATACAACGGACAAATGTATCAGAGAAGGTAATTTTTAATCATTAATGTCCAAAGAAGGAGTTTAATTAACGGTGGTAACCATAATTTTTCCAAGCACCTACGGTATTCGGTAAGAACTTCAACAGTTTAAATCATAAGTCCTAAGCACGAGAATCTGATGGCACACAAGTTCAGTAGCGTGTATGGCCACCATGTGCGTTGACAACTGCCACACAACGCCTCCGCATGTACCTTGTGATGTTTGTGAACACATGATTGGGAAGACGACGCCATTGTTGCTGCAAAATGGTGCCAAGATCTTGCAAATTCTGTGGTTGGTTGGAGAGTGCGCAGACTTCTGCCAAGAGCATCCCAGACGTGTTCGATGGGATTGAGGTCGGGAGAGCTTGACGGCCAGTCCATGACGTTGACTCCCGCATTCTGAAGGAAATTCCTTGTCAAAACTGCTGTGTGGGGTCTTGCATTGTCGTGTTGGAAGATCAAACCGGGTCCATGTGCTGCCATAAAAGGCAGAAGTTCTGGTGCCAGTACCTGGTCGCGGTAAGCAGCAGCGTTGAGGTTGCCACGGATGACAAGAAGCCTGGAACGTGCATTGCCACAGAAAGCACCCAACACAATGACACTTCCGCCTCGAAATCTGTCAACTTCCTGTACACAACACTGGGCGTAACGTTCATGACGGCGCCTCCAGACCCTCCCCCTACCGTCAGCAAATCGAAGATTAAATCGGGATTCATCACTGAAGACGACTTGATTCCAATTCCTCTGAGTCCATCGTAAGTGTCGCTGTGCCCACAATTGACGTTGACGTCTGTATAATTGAGTCAGAATCGGCCCGCAGTATGGCCGTCGTGCTTGAAGGTGAGCAGTTCTCAGACGGTTTCGAACATTTTGCGCACTCAGTCTACCCCTAAACAGTTCATTTCTGGTTGATGTAGCCGTCAAAAATCGGTTAGGGAGGTGACGTTAGACAATCTGACGATCCTCTGCATGTGACGTCACACGTGGTCGACCTGGCCGAGGGCGATCAGCGGTGGTACCCGTTGGCTGTAGACGCGTCTGTAAATCATAAACAGTCCGTCGACTACAACCCATCATCCTTGCGACTTCAGCTACGGACGCTCCCGTCTGCAACATGCCGGTGGCACGTTCACGTTGCACATTTAAAAGGCGTGGCATGACAAATGGCCGTAAAGACTTCTGGTTTTCTTGTGTTTTTCTTTTTCTGTTAATGACTGCTAACAAGTATGGCTGAAAACACGTGCGGTATTATGGCCACGTGACCAGTTGCACGTGAAAAACCACTTTTGCCACTATAGTGCTGTGCACATGATTTTGATCGATTCACCTGCACAAAACGGGTGTTATCTGAAGACAATACGTGGCCATTACTGTTTAAATACACAATAAGGGCCCACAATGATAACTGGTCATGATAACTAGGATTATGAAGTTTTTAATTTGGTTCAGTATTCTTAACACAATTAGTTACAATACTAGTGCGGTTACAAGATAATAGTGTATTATATTTAAATAAAGTAGGATTAAATATCTGTAACATGGGCAGACAAGCATAAAATTAAACTCATCTTCAATTTCCTGTAAATTACAAAATCTGCACTGCCTATTACAGTACTCTATACAGCATCTTCTACCTAAATTTACCATGAATGGCAACTCGCCAACTCTTAACAGACAAAACATACGTCTATAATGACGGCTTGTGATTTCCCAGAGATACTTTTCAACTGTTAGCAATGACTTATATTCCTTATACATTGATAATTTACGTATTTCACAAACTTTACAATACCAGTCATGTTGGTTACAGTCTTTTAACCTTTGAATAAATGCATTAATAAAGAGGTCTCATTACCAACTTCCTGCGAAATCCACACGTGGCCAAATCCATAACTGAATAATAATCTTTTGACACAAGTTACCCATGTATTGCGATAAACTTCATCTAAAGATTTCAGTATTAAATAACACTGCTTAGGGTATCTATAACTGGGTAAAGATAACAATTTCAACCAATATTTAATACATCTCTTGTGATAATCAATAAATAATCCATATCTACCACATTCGCCAAGGGCAGCAACATTTGTAACATGACTTCCAATTCCAATAGTAAATTTACAGAATTTAATCTGAATTTTTTCAATTGCTGCAATTTTTGAATATCCCCATATTTCTGAAGTGTATAATAATACAGGCTTAATTTGACCGTCAAATATTTTAAAAAGTATATGTACGGGTATGTTCTTCAAACAATGCTGTAATTTCTTAACAACGAACAAGAGAGTTGATACCAGTCGTCCAACACAGCCGATTTGAAAATAACAAACCTAGATAATTATAATAGGTAGATACATTAACATTAACATCTCCAAACCTCCATTTCTCAGTACACCTAAGTTTTCCACCATTTCTGAAAACTAAAATTTCAGTCTTACTAAGGTTAACTTCTAAACCCCATTTAGTACAGAAGGATTTAAGGATATTAAGTTTTCGTTGGAGATCAACTACAGTATCATCAATTATGCACAAATCATCGGCATATAATAACAACAAAATGTCTAGAGATTCTTGACTCACAAATATCCCCCTCTCGCCGGAGTACTGCAACATTGATTCTAATTCAACAATATAAAGCAAAGAGAACAATATTGGGCTAAGGGTGCAGCCTTGGCGTACACCACTTAGCGTTTCAAAGTAGCAAGTTGCTGTGCTATTTGATAACTTTACAGCCGATTTCACTTTTAAATACATATCTTTAATGACATAAAATAACTTTCCATGTATACCCTTATTTAACATGACATACAACAACAATTTTCTATTTACACAATCAAAGGCTTTTCTAAAATCAACAAATAAACAGTAAAATCTGCCATTAGCTTTAGATAG